CCCCCCCCTCCCTCCGCTCCGCTCTCCTCCCGGCTAGTGCGGGCTTGGTGTGAGACCCCCCTCCCCACTCGCGGTGGGACCCCGCCACCTGCCCCGCGTCCCTTCGGCTGCATTGCTCCTCGTTGTGTCGCCTGCCCGCACTGAGACCAGCCCAGCTCCGGCCTCCACTTACCCGGCTGCAGCCTGAGCCCATTGCCTCTCCTTGTGTCGCCTGCCCGCACTGAGACCAGCCCAGCTCCGCCCCCGCTGGAAGCGCCCTTCCAGGAGCTGGAGGCTGCTCTTCAATCCCAGCCCCAGACTAAATCGACCCATTTCCCTCAGTGGTTCCTCGCCAGTCCTGGCCCCCAGCCCCCCAACCATTTTTGTTGCCCTCCGCTGGACTCCCTCCACATCCTTCTGTGGTGGGGGGCCCAGGCGTGGCCGCACCGGTGCTGAATAGAGGGGAAATGGCTGGCCTCCCGCTGCTGGAAACACTCCTACTAATGTAATTTCGTCCTTCCGCTGCACGTACCCCAGGATACATCCCCGGGGTGGGTGCAGCTGTTCCCAAATGCAAGCGCCTTCCTCCGCTTCCACGGATGCTGCTTTCATCCTGGTGAGCAGCGGGCAGCGGTGTCGCGCGGGGGTCGGTGCTCAGTCCAGTGCTTTTCAACATCCTTAAGAGCGATTTGGATGTGGGGGCGAAGAGCTCACTCGCCGTGTTTGCGGACGGCACCAAGTTATGGGGGAGCGTGGTCACGCTTGAAGACAGGCTACAGATACAGGGGGACCTGGACAGGCTGGCAAATTGGGCGGGTGGGAACCTGATGAAGTTCAACGTCCGGAAATGTAAAGTGCTGCACCTTGGGACGAGCAATCCCCAACGCACCTACAGGCTTGGCCGCACCAAACTGGCTAGCGCCACGCGTGAAAAGGACCCCGGGGTAATAATAGACCACAGTACGAATATGAGCCGGCAGTGCGATGCTGTAGCCAGTAGGACGAACAATACTCTGGCGTGCATCAATCGATGCATCTCCAGCAAAGCCAAGGAGGTGATTCTTCCACTCTACTCGGCACCGGTGAGACCGCGGCTGGAGGACCGCGTCCAGTGCTGGGTGCCTCATTTTAACAAGGATGAGGACAAGCTTGAGAGAGTCCAAAGAACAGCCACTGTATGATCAGAGTCTTAAAAGGCAAGCCATACGAGGAAAGGCCGAGGGACCTGGGACTCTTTCAGCCTGAAAAAAAAAGGCTGAGAGGGGACCTGGTAGCAGTTTGCCACTGCACTGGGGAGGACACGAAGGGCTCGGTGAGCAACTGTTCACCAGGGCACCCGAGGGGAAAACCAGGAGTAACAGCCACGAACTCCTGGCTCAACATTAGAAAAAACTTCTTCACGGTCAGGGTGTCCAGACTATGGAATAAGCTCCCTCCGGAGGTGGTGCTATCGCCTACCCTGGAAATCTTCAAGAGGAGACTAGACACTCACCTCGCTGGGGTCACCTGGCCCCCAGTTGTCTTTCCTGCCTAATGCAGGGGGCTGGACCTGATGATCTTCCGAGGTCCCTTCCGGCCTTACAATCTATGACTCTATGAAAGCCAAGTCCCATGGTACCACTGAGGGCGCAGATTCAGGCAAAGAAAACCCTGGGGCGGTCCTTGATTTGTAGGCTGGTGGCAAATAACGAGCTCTCCAAAAAGGCAGCGGGCAGTAGCCGATTCCACTCCTTGCACCCATGTGGCAGGTGTGTCACTTGAAAGGGGATTTTGCAGGTGTAGGGATGCCAGCCCCCCATCAGCGTGCACACGTAAGCAGCCGTAGGGCTACTGCTCACAAGTAAGTAGGGTATACTGGGCGTGCAGGTGCCGGGCTCTGTCTGAGCGTACCCTGGGTGGGAGCCAGTCGCTGTATTTAGCCAGGGATGATCCTGCCTTGAGCAGGGCCCTGGACTACATGACCTCAACAGCTCACCCGTCCAGCCCCACTGTGATCCTTTCTGCCTGACGAAGGCCTATAACAAGTGGCGGTTAGACTCTGGAAGAGAAGGGGCCTTCCCCTGTTTTAGCCCCAACTGCTAAGTGGTCAAGGCAGTGGTTTTCAACCTCTTTTCATTTGCAGACCCATTTGGAGATTTCAAATGGAGGTGCAGACCCCTTTGACTTGTAAGTATGGGTAGTCACATACTTTCAATTGAACGTACTTTTGCTGTCCCCTTAGATGTAGTCTGCGGACCCTGAAAGGTCCACGAGCCAGAGGTTGCAAACCAGTGGGTTGAGGCATATGCCCAAGAACTGGAGACTCAGGTTCTAGGCCCCAGAGTGCTTGAGCCTGATCCTCTCTGACTTCCCAGCACAGTGCTCTGACCCCCAGGTTACACTTGAGGCCACCTTGGAAAATGCCAGCTCTTCGTTTTCACTTTTTGCCTGCAGAAAAATAACAGAGAGGTTTTCCTGTTGCAAAGAGCTCAGAAAGACCACAGCTATGGATTCCTGTTTGAAATCTCTGGGTCTATCTTGTGGATCAGGTTTGTCAGCCTAACGGGGTTAACACTGTGCAGCAGCCTACGGCACCCTTGAAGGAACCTCAAGGCATCCGAGGGTGCTGTGTCACCCTAGTTGATAGTGTATTGGGTTAGACATTTATTTGTCCCTTTTAAAGCTGATCCCTGCCCTCCCCAGGCAGCTTCAGGGGAGGAAATGAGGACTGGGAAGATGTATGGCCCTGTGATGGGGCTACTGGGTCCTAACCTGCACCCTTGCTCCCAGCGGGGCAGAAACCACTGCACTGCAAGCCCTCCAGGGCCTGTTAAATGAGAGGAGAGATGGTCCAATTAAGACCAACCATTTTGAAAGGCTACTAAGTAAGCGTCATGATGCAGGGTTTCGGTCCGTCTCTCACAGTTAGAAAATGACTGTGGGGGAAGATTATCCTGGAAGCAGGACTGGGTGGATATGGCCATATGGCTCCTGGTTTGGCCCTGCAGAGCAGGGCAGCGTGTTCGGTGCTGCTGCCATCCTGGTGTGTTTCCTGCGTAAGCATGGCCTTACTATGTACGAACCCCAACTTCCCACCCCATCAGAGCGCCGTGGGGTGTGCGCTGTAAACACCGAGTCCTTCAAAAGTGTCAGTCACACATACACATCTTGAACATGAGCCAAGGAGTGCCGATTTGCTGTCCACTACTGTTAACAGACAGCAGCGTTACCAAATGTAGATGGTCATTCAGTCATTTTACTGAAAGCTTTGTGCATAACCAGCAGGGAAAGGGAGACTTTGCCCAGAGTGGGGTGCCTCCACCGAGTCCCCCCAAAAATACATCATAGTGCGAGACATCACAGCTGTGGGCCCATGTCACTCGAGGATGATGCTCATGTCTGGGTTTTGCAACAGGTATTAAAATGCTGAAGTGGCCCCTCCAGCGGTAAGACAAAGGAGACTTTCTGGCCCTGCCAGGAACAGCTGCCTCCAGAGCTTCCATCAGGCTTCCAGCTGCAGCAAACAAAACCACGTGCCCTCATGTTATATCACAGAGTGATTAGCTTCCTGGTGGATGATCCAGCTCCCGAGCACATGCTGATCTCCGCTGTCCAGAGCTGCCTGACTCTCTCAGTCAAAGCGTTTGAGATATGTCTTGTGGTCTTTAAGGAATGATAAAAATCCACCGCCCTTACGGAAAACTATGAGCATGCTCATGCTCCATTGGGAGCTTTCGCTGTTCCTGCATCTGGGTTCTATACCTGAGCCTCAGGCCAGCAATGACAGCCAGCTCTGATCTCAGATGCACTTCTGGAGCACGTCAGAAGGCAGGGCAGAGTTGCACCTTGCTTTCATAAGCAATACCTTTGTCAGATGCTTTGGGAGGCAGACAGGGGTAGTCACATGCAGAAGCAGCAACACCAGGAAAGGTGCTCCTCAGAGGCAGCGTTGCCTTGAACTTTAAATCAGAGCAGCATCAAGCCCAGGACGCTGCCTGCCATTCTGTGCTGGGGCACGCTTGCTGGGCATGTCTTTTTATTACGTCCAAGGTGTCTTGTAGGCACTCCTGCTTTACCTAGCCGTGACATCAAGTTACCATCCCGGATCTTGATGCTGATCCTATAAAAATCCCACTGCAGCGCCTTTCTCATCTGAAGGTCTCAAAGCACGTTACAAACACCAATTCACTAATTTACCCAGAAGTGCGGGACGCGTCAGTAAGATGAAGGGATTGCTTTGTTTCCCCCTTTATGGTGAATATGGATGGGGTGGGAAAGAGCACCTCTCTTCGGAGAGGAAATGAGGAACAGCTTTCAATGTGAGTGGCACAGAAAGGGCAGGGCCCAGAGGCTGAACACAGGTGCTGGAACTAGCATTTACCCGGGACGTGAAGGCAACCGCGGCAGGACTGTAGAGAGCCCCTAGGCTCTTTGGGATTGCAAAGGGTCAAGCTCTCAAGGGTTTCCCCCTTCCAGCAGCACAGGCAGGGCATTGGCTCCCTCCTGACTCCGAGGATCTGGGGCTGTTTGGGAGTCACTCGCACCACTTCCTGCAGCACGTGGGAGGGCTGTCACCCAAACACCCACCCAGGCCCAGCTCATTCAGGCCTGCCCGTCTGGAGTTCAGCCTCCACCCCTGATTTTTCGGGCACCACAGATATATCGCGCCAAGCAGCGGTGTCCACAGACACGCCACGCTGTTACAGACTGGCTGCCTCCTGGAAGCAGCGTAGCTGTGTTTGTGGGCCATCGTGGGCTGGCTAATTGCAGATGGGAGGATTACGATCACT